AGCAAATACATATTTGCTTAATCGACAATCATACTACACAATGCAATTTGGGATAGGTCTGGCTTGCCATGAATTTCACATCTGCCCTGTCATCTACTGGTCGCCATACTAACGACACGGCATAGAATCCTGTTATGAGTGCTGAGGGCACCCAGGCAAAGTCAAAACTGCAGTTTAGTCTGGATGAGAAAACTTTTTGGAGCCAAGGATAAGTGAAATTCAATGGCATCCGGAAGCCTTTAAGTATGATTACGAGTGAACTTAACCACCAGTCCTTAAATCATCTTAACGACATAGGCTGAGTAAATTCTTAATTATGGATTATTAATAGTAGCTAAATACGTAAAAAAACGAAAGGCTTACACTACTTATTTTAGCATGTTTTTAGAAGTAAAGTACGGAGAATATGAATGCTCAGCTGATCAAATAAGATCTTCTGTAATATGTTCTTCCTGAATTGTATCCTATACTAAAATCCGTAATCCGTAATTATTTTAATATATTTTTAGATATAAATTAGCATAGATTTAAGGCTATAGTTAAGCTCTGCATGAGCTAATATGAAAAAAACTCCAGATAAGTTGAAATAAGCAATGCTAATAAAAAGCAATAGAAGCCAAAAAAGAATAAAAATAAGGGAGATTAAAATCAAAAAGGGTAAGATAAATTTGAGGCTATTGACAGTGTAAAAAGTAATAACACAGTTATTTACCGTGTGCTGCATGAGTCGGAATGAGCAACCAATGATTGTGGAAGTTTGGGAAAAAACTCGATTGGTCTTATTGAAGAGTTGGAGAAAAGAGACTGGCCTTCTGATGAGTTGGGCTGGCAAAAATTTGGTGGGGCTAAGCAATGACTTTGAACACCCAAGGCTTGTGGACGGCCCGATCTGGATGAGTAATCTGACTGAATGGGAGGCGAAAATTCCACTGCTGACACTGCCACTTCGTTTCCCCCACGATCCGATGTGTGAGTAGAGGTGATGGAAACATGAGAAGCCTCTTGCATAATGGAAGGATTAGTAATAGTAGCCAGATTAGCCTGAGAAACCGGTTCTGAAAAGATGCCTGATGGGTTCTCGTGGATTTGCTGTTTGTGGTTAATTGATTCATCTACGGAAAACAATATCAAATAATAGGCTTTCTGAAGCATGTTAAGAAAATGTTACTACGATATATTACGATAGAATGTTATGAAGACTTTCGTTGGTCTGTAAGTGCATGCTGAAGAGATTCGTAGGTCAATTTCACCAGAAGACGACTGATTTGCGCTGCACTGAAGTAGTTTGGCTTTAATACGACGTTCAGGTTGACTCAGACCTTCATTGTTTCTTGAGAAGACGGGCTGAGCCTTCGTTCGTTTTATGACGTTCATCGTCAGAACTGGGACTCATTCTTGCAAAAGCCTCAAGTTAGCACAAAGTCAAGGAAACTATTTAGCTCTTTCCTATATAATATATATATACTCATTGCGAGAAAAGTTTAGATCTAGATCTTCATCATCCTAAACCAAATATGGTGAACACAACTCAAATGTCTGATTTACTAAAGTCTCGAAAATCTACTCAAAAACAAAATAAAAGCATCAGCTAGATTGTGTTAGCCCATAAGTAACCCTGGTTGAATTGAGATATAAGCCCATGTGCATAAAATTCAGGTTGCGAAATTGCCTGTCCGAATCCGTTATTACATAACGGCCGATCCGCCAAAAATTGGCAGAGCACAAAAATGCTGGGTTGAACAGTCATAAGTGGCTGACCATAGGGCGGGACATGAGGTAGAATGGTTTCATATGTATAGATTTGCTTATTATCGTACGTATTCTACGAAATGCAAGATGAGAAACTATTGAAGTTGATAGATTAGACAATAAGTTAAATATGAGAAATGGTTGTAAAAAGTTAAGTAAGAATTACTTATGCTTGATTGAAAGATTGAAAGAGAGACCGTTGAGCTGCTGTCCAAAAGAAGACGACTCAATTTGTCAGCTGAGAGATGGTCCTAACCAAGTTAATACTCCTTCAACAAACATGCCAAGCTCATCCGCCAAAACAGAGGTGCGAGGCTACGTAATTCCAGCCAAACTTCTCTTTGAGTCATTAAACTTAAGTTATCCGGACGAACGGATTTGGATTGGTGGTTTCGTAACCTGACTTTCACGTGTGCACATTTATATATCATAAATTCAACCATGGTTAATTACGGACTAACGCAACCCAGGTCATGCATTTTTCCTTGGTTTATTAAGCCTTAATGACTCGACTGTCATTAAACTTTTTTTAATTATTCAGAGTTATGGCCAGTTTTGCGTACATACGTCAATATAAATATACACATAGGCAAACTCGAGTATGTGAATTAACCAAACCTTTCTATCTCTATCTAGATCTAAACATTTTTCGCAATGAGTATATATATCTATGATATAGGAAATAGCCAAACAGTTTTCTTGACTTAATATTAACTCGAGGCTTCTGTAAGAATGAGTCCCAGCTCTAACGATGCCCGTCATATGATAAACGAAAGCCCAGCCCGTCTCCTCCAGAAACGATGGAAGATGTCTAATGGAATACACCAACCTGAACGTCGTATTAAAGCCAAACAGTTGCAGTACAACGGGAATCAGCCGTTGTATTTTGGTGAGATTGACCCACAATTTTTTTCATCCTATACTTTCATACGAAATGAAGATTTTCGCAGCAATCTTATCTCAGAATATTCACCGAAACCCGCATTTTTTTGTCCATTATAGAATGATAAAGCTGAGTAGAAATAGGGATCAAAAAACCAAATATGAATAGTGTTAGTATAACCTTGTTTTCGCAACTTGGTCGGGGCGACAGGGAGACCTTGTGGAACGTAGCTAGTTCTGTGTCCTCTGCAATATTATTTATGATGAATACCAGCATCAGGCCATTTGCTTGTTACATTCCCAGACAGCTTGTTTGAATCCCCAATGAGAGGCACCATCCTTATAATAGAGTTACAGCCTATCATAGTGACAAATGTAGGCAATCCCTCTTACCACTTCTTTTTAATCGTTGTGGCGTCATTTCCAGTCCCTTTTTTGCCCTAGCTTCAAGTACTGCATGACTTTATCCGAATTCCATTTCATATGGCTCACTTACTTATTCACATCATTATGTGTTCTCGTTTCATCCAATGCTACCTAATAATGTATAGCCTTAAGTAGATTTAATGAAGCGTAATTATATTTAGCACCGGTTTTAGATAGTCCGAAGGGATTCTGACTCTCATTTAACACTCCCCCAACCCCCTTGTCAATTGTTACCTACTGCATGTGAAAATATCTATATAGCTGTCTGGAATCTGTCTTCCTATGAGCTTTCGACGATGACAACTACGGTATCGGCAAAAGTCTGGGACTGTACCAAATCAAGGGTCCGATGCAAAAAATCATCATAAATACTGTTGCAGAGGGCAGATGACAAGGTATATTTCATATAATCTTCTTGTTGCCCCGATCAAGTTGCGAAAATAAGGTCAAACTAACACTAAAGAGCTAAATGAGTCTACGATCAAACAAAAGGCCTTCATATTTACAAATATAAATAATTTAAATAATACTTTTTAAAAGGACAGATTAAAGGCGTCTTAGCTTAAATAATATAAATAAGGTTTCAGACTATGGAAAAGATAAATAACAAAAGGCTAAAATGAC